AACTTAAAAAAAAAAAAAACAGAAGTAACAGTTTTCTGGAAACTTCAGAGTCTTCTACAGATAAAATCATGTCATCTGCAAAAAAAAGTAATGTTACATCTTCCTTTCCAATTTGGATCCCTTTTATTTTTTTCTCTTGCTTAATTGCTCTGGCTAGGACTTCCAGTACTATGTTGAATAGAAGTGCTGTGAGTGAGCACGTTTGCTTTGTTCTTGATGTTAAAGGAGAAGCTTTCAGTTTTCCATCTTGGAAATGATGTTAGCTGTGGGTTTTTCATACATGGCTTTATTTATGTTGAAGTAACTTCCTTCTATACCTAATTTGTTGAGAATTTTTATTATGAGAGAGAACATGCTTAACTGTTTTTTAACTAAATAAGGATTTAGTTGATTGTTAAAAAAAGGAAAACAGTTTGATTGTTTATTTGGGGTGTCAACTTACTAGGTTGAAGGATGCATGGAAGGCTTGTAAAACATTGTTTCTAATTATATTTGAGAGAATATTGCCAGATGAGATTGACATGAGTCAGTGGACTGAGAAATAAAGATTAGCTTTCAATGTAGGCAGGTGCCATCCAATAGGCTGTGAGTACAGGAGGGACAAACAGAAGTGGGGTCCAGTTTCCTATCACCCCTGCTCTCAGACCTTCCTTCCAAAGCATGCTACATGCTCCAATCTTAAACATTCTGTCTGCTCCATCTCTGCTCCTCTCCTAGGCCCTTAGTTGCATTTGTTCTTACCAGCTCCTGACTCCTGCATACCTCCAACCAGACGGACTTCAAGTTCTTTAACCTTTGGACTCTGTATTCATATCAGTAGCTGCCCAAGAGTTCTTAAGCCTGTGGATTCCTGAGGATCCTCTTTAGGACTCTGACTGGAACTACACCAGTTTCCCTACTTTGGAGGCTTCCAAGGCTCACTTCAAGCCTCAGACTGCACAATTTTCCTGTGTCAGAGTATTTCAGATGTTTCTCAAGTTTGCAGACAGCCTACTGTGGGATTTGTGAGATTCTTCATACAATAAATCTCTTTTACTTATATATATATATCCTGTTGGTCCTATTTCTCTGAAGATCTTTGACCAATATAACTGTTTTTTTAAAAAGATTTTTTTATGTAACTTTATTTACTCATTTTTAATTTGAACAGAGAGTGACAGAGTGAGAGAGAGAGAGAGAGAGAGGGAAAGTGAGAAAGCAAGCCACCAGGTACAGGACTCAATCCATGGTTGGCCATGTGGCAGTCCAGCACCCTTGACCACCACACCACCTGCAGGTCCCATAAACTGGTTTTATCAAAGCATTTTTCTTGATTTCCAAGAAATCCCCAGGATTATAAAAATATCAATGGTAGCTACAACCTCAAATAAATATAAACACTCTACTTTTACAATTGCAAAATACTACAATTTTAATAAAATATTAGAGAATGAAATATTTGGGTTTATTGACAATTTAGCATAAATCCCTTTTCATTATAAATTATGTTAAAATTTTTCTGGTGTTTGGTCACTTTCTCATTTTAGAAAGTATAATACAATGAAATAAGCACACTTTAATTTTCCCTTGGTAATTAATCTTGTCAATGCACATTAGAATTGTCATCCAGACATCCAGAATATAAATTCCTATGACTCAGGATAAAATATCTGGAAATATAGAAAAGCAATTATTTTTGGTCCTGCAGCTTACTCTAGAACTGTTTATATTATATTCTCTTTTTTTTTTATTTTAAAAGGCTTTTGCCTTAGGGCATGTGAGTTTGCTGGAGAGAGAGAGAGACAGAGAAATCCCCTCCCCCCAGGGATGACCACATTGCAATCCCTTCTTTTCCATTCTCCTGGGATTTTCAGTACACACACATGTGCACCCTGGGTTAGTTTCAAGCCACTGGGTCCAGGACTCAAATCGCAGTCAGCCATGTGAGAGTCAAGTACCTTAACCACTACACCACCTGCTGGCCACCATATTATATATTCTTAATGTCAAATTGTTTCCTTCTCATTGTTTTAAATTATACGAGTCTAGTTCAACATAATAAATTTTTTACTTTATAGTATTTTGCTCATCCATCCCAGTCTGCATTTAAGGCAGTAACAAATTTATTGTCAATGAAGCCCCAGCAACTTGTACAGCTAAGACTTTTAATTGAAAACACAGTATAAAGCACCTATTATGACAAGGTAGAGAAGCAAATCCCAACTCCCTTCATCTTCCATCTTATTTACAGCTGATATCACTATCAACTGTAAATAACACTGTGTGATAGAATGCACTAAGAATACCAGTTGTCTATGACTCTTCTTATGCAAAATATTTCTCATTTAGAAAGGCTAAGATATACTTCAGTCAACTGCTTTAGGAATCTGGGTGGGGATTTTTAATGGATTTTAATACATAAATCAGACTTATGAAACTGTCCTTTAACATGTAATAAAATTATAGAGAAATGTTCTATATCTGTTTTTAATTCCAGAGACTTTAACAATTTAAGTAATAAAATGATAAAATAAATTAGAGATAAAAATGTTTTTCTTTTCTCAATAAACTTCTATTCAGCAGAGAGGACTCTACTAAAATTTATTTCAATTTAAAATTTAATTTATGATCTTCGGTTCAAGTCCCAGACATGGTGGCTTGAAAATCATGCCAGGCATATTTGTGGGCATGTCCAAAATCCCAGAAAGAGAATGAAGAAGAAGGAATTGTAGCTTCTTCCTGGGGGAGATTTCTCACTTTCCCTCTTACTGTGTCTCTCTGTCTCTCTCTGGCAAGTTCATACATCCTATGGCAAAAGAAAAAGAAAAAAAATTAAAAATTTGTGATCATAAATCTAATAGGAAGGTCACTATAGTTTAGCATGCTTATACTATAATGTCCCCCAAATTGGTAGAAAATGTAGAGAGAAGGATATCTTGAAAATATGCATTTTATCAATTTAATTCTATTTTTAATCCTAGGGAAGATAGTACAAATGAGTTTGAATATTGATGATATTTAGATGATTATATGATCAAATGAAAATATTGATTTAAATCAGTAATAACAATGTTAAAATTATTCTCTTGAATTTTTGTTGTAATTTTAATATATCATTTTTAATAAAGTAATATTTTTATATGAGAAAAATAAAAATCAGATCAAATTTATAGTCATTGTTAATTTTGCATATAATGAAAGCAATTTATTTAAAGATTTTTCAAAATACGATACATAAGCAGATGTCCACATGTGTTCACATGCTGGTCACTGTGCTCATATTGTAAAACTACTTTATTAGTCTATCACTATAATAATTTTGTTAATATTTACCTAGTCTCAGAGAGTCTTCATGTCTTAGCAAAGCAAGAACATTAGAAAGGAAGCACAAGAACAGAATAAAGAAAATTAAGTTTTTGAGTAAATAGTGAGAGGAAATAGTAACACCTTTACTCAGCTATACTATGTAAAAGAAATGATGAAACATAAAGACAAAAAAAATGAATTCAGCCTGTTATTCTAAGAATTTCTTCTCTAGAAAACATCCACTGAAATAATATCCTTCTCTTGTATTCTTTTTCTGCCAGGATTTTTTTAGAGAGATTTTTGCTATAGGGTGTGTCTGCTCACTGGAAAGATAGAGAGAGACATAGAGAGAGCAAGAAAACATCTGGGGTGGGGCGGATGCCTACACTGCAATCCTTTTTCCTCCATTTTCTTCGAGGGACTTTATGCACCAACAAACATGTGCTGGGCATGAGTTTCAAGCTCTGGGTCCAGGACTTGAACCATGGTCAGCCACATCCGGGGTCCAGCGCCCCCAACCACCAGGATCTTTTCTAGCCTAGGTGGTATGATGACATATGAGGAATCCTTTAAAGGTTCATAAAACGTGTGTATTATGAAAAAATCTATGCATGTATAAATTTTACAGGGTTCGAAAGTAAGCTAATCTAATTCCATTTTCTTATGAACGTTTTGAAGTACCCTCATGTTTTGTTTGAATTGTCTTTGATGGAAGAAGGTTCTATAAGAGGCTCCTTAAAGAATTGTCCCTATGATAGATAATGGTGATTTTCTGAAAACAGCGTCGAAATTCCTCTCCAAAACAATTTCTCACAAGTCAGGATGCAATTCAAAATTAACTATGTATAGTGCCTACATCGTCATATGTTTATTCCATCCATGAATATTAATTATATATTTCACATTGATTCTGCAGCTTTTATCTCGTTCACTGAGATTCTATCATTCTAGAGGCAGCTCAACATCTTCAACGTTTCTGACACGAACTACCATGAAAAGCCATTTTATGACTTTCCAGTTATTAAAATCGTGGTCTAGCTAAAGCAGAGAAAACAACTCTTTGCCTACTACCTGGAAATAATGCTACCATTATGTTCGAGATTAATGGAGTAAGGATAAAGGCCAAGCACAACATGGCCTTGTGCTCTATTTGACCCTGTGATCATTTAGCAATGGACTGGGAGCTCTGTACAGCTGTTGACTTTGACTGTGTAACGCACTCAGGAAAGTATGCCACCTATATCCTCCTTCCTAAGCAAAAATGACTAGGGAGTTTTTTGTTTTTTTTTTTCAAACTTAAGAATTCTTTCCGCCTGGGTCATCATCTCCTTCTGTGATTTGGGAATTAGCAGCCTAAAGATAACATTTTAAAATACTAAATAAATATCATTTTTAAAATAGGAGGAACAATCGAAAAAAACATCTGAATCTTCTTTTTCTTTTTTCTCCTTTTCTTCTTTCTTTCCTTCCTTCTTTCTTTCTTTCTTTTTCTTTCTTTTTTTTTTTTTTTTTAAATCTTGGCACACAGTAAGAGGGAAGTTACTTAGCACGGTTCCGGGTTTCCTCGCGCCCCGCCCGCCCTCCGTAGCGCAGCTACTGGCTCTTGGTCCCTCGATCGGTCTGTCCTGCCCAGAGCAAGCCCTGCCCACCGTTCTGCGCTGCGCCCGCCCGCCGCGCATCTGTCCTTCTCGGCTGACTCCGCCCCGCATCTGTCCGGACCCGCCTCGCGTCTGAGCTGACCCACTGCGCGTCTGCCAGTCAGTCCCTCCGCACCTGCCGCGAGCCTCAGGCTGCCGAAATCACCGCGCCTCACTCGGTCCGTACCCAGTGGGCATCTTGGGTATCTGGGCGGTCTCCGGTCCCCCGCGCGTGTGTCTGTGTGTCTGTCTCTCTGTCCGATCCGCTGCCTGCAGCCTGCCTGCCGGTGCCAACGCACCAAGTGTCTAGTGTGCCCTTTCGCTGACGCCGAGCGCGGACGGCCTCAGTGAGCTGCGGGCCCGCGGAGAGCGGCCGGGCGGCCGGCGGAGGAATACACGCTCGGCCCCTGCCCTTGTTGCTATCATTGTAAACCAACGCGAGCTCGAGGCCTGTGTTTATGCAGAATCCGGGTCGCCAGGCCTCGGTCGGCAATGCTAGATGTGGGGAGCCAGCCAGCTGCTGGGTGATTGCTTACAATTGAACAGGGAAAGGGACGTGTCGTTCCTACCATGGGCTTTGCAAACTGATTTTTAATTCCGAACGGGTGAGATCTGGAAGTCTCCTTAGGGAGAATAGGTTCGTTACTGGGGTGCCTTTTTGTCTCATGCGTTTGTTCTGAGCCTGCTGACCAGCTGTTTCTGAACTTCATTTTCTCAGCCTCGACAGTGATTCGGAATCTGCTTTTAGCTTCCCTTCGCCTGCCTTGGCTTTTTCTGTTCCTGAACAGCTGTTTGGCCCATAGCTTAGAGAAAGCAGCCTTTTTTCTCTCCCAAGAGAACCTCCTCCCTGTGCTCAGAGAGATGGGGAGTGGGGAGCCTAATCCTGCTGGCAAGAAAAAGAAGTACCTCAAGGCCGCCCTGTACGTGGGTGACCTGGACCCAGATGTCACGGAGGACATGCTCTATAAGAAGTTCAGGCCTGCTGGCCCTCTGCGCTTCACTCGCATCTGCCGTGACCCGGTGACCCGCAGCCCTTTGGGCTATGGCTACGTTAACTTCCGCTTTCCAGCGGATGCTGAGTGGGCGCTGAACACCATGAACTTTGATTTGATTAATGGCAAACCATTCCGCCTCATGTGGTCCCAGCCAGATGACCGCTTAAGAAAGTCTGGAGTTGGCAATATATTCATCAAAAACCTGGACAAATCCATAGACAATAGGGCCCTGTTTTATTTGTTTTCAGCTTTTGGGAACATTCTCTCCTGCAAAGTCGTGTGCGATGACAACGGCTCAAAGGGTTATGCCTACGTGCACTTTGACAGCCTTGCTGCTGCCAATCGGGCCATCTGGCACATGAACGGAGTGCGGCTCAACAACCGCCAGGTGTATGTTGGCAGATTCAAATTCCCAGAAGAGCGGGCAGCTGAAGTGAGAACCAGGGATCGAGCGACTTTCACCAACGTGTTCGTTAAAAACTTTGGAGATGACATGGATGACGAAAAACTGAAGGAACTTTTCAGTGAATATGGACCAACAGAGAGTGTTAAGGTAATAAGAGATGCTGGTGGGAAATCCAAAGGCTTTGGATTTGTGAGATATGAGACCCACGAGGCTGCCCAAAAGGCTGTGCTAGACCTGCATGGAAAGTCCATGGATGGGAAAGTTCTCTATGTAGGGCGAGCACAGAAGAAAATCGAACGCCTGGCTGAGTTAAGGCGCAGATTTGAACGGCTGAGATTAAAAGAAAAAAGTCGGCCTCCAGGCGTGCCTATCTATATTAAGAACCTGGATGAGACCATCGACGATGAAAAACTGAAGGAGGAATTTTCTTCCTTTGGATCCATTAGCCGAGCCAAAGTGATGATGGAAGTAGGGCAAGGCAAAGGGTTTGGCGTGGTCTGCTTTTCCTCTTTTGAAGAGGCTACCAAGGCAGTGGATGAGATGAATGGTCGCGTGGTGGGCTCCAAGCCTCTGCATGTCACCTTGGGCCAGGCCAGGCGCAGGTGGTGAGAGTAGCCATGCTTGATTTGTTTCAGCCTTAGCTGGTGCCTACTTAGTTTGGGCTCCTTTGTGTAAGGGGTTGTTTTATGCCAATTCACAGGTTTTTTTAAGTGAATCCTTTCTTTGGAAAAAAAGTGAAACTAGAAAATTTTGTTCATTTAGTGAAAAACATAATTTCTAATTGTAAAATTGTCATTTTGTACTATTTTTTGATATAATATCCTTAGGAATATGTAGAATAAAGTCTATTTCTCCTTATTTTCTTTTCCTGGACAGTCAAGGTGAGGCAATCGATTGAACGTATTTCCCTTTTTATTTCATTTTAATATCTTCTATGAAAATATTTGCCACATGGTCCTTACTTCTGAATCTATCAGTGAAACTTCTAACTTGTTTATTGAGAAATCAACAGAGCAGAGGTAAATGTATGTGATCCAGTTAGCATCTGTGTATTATTTCACTTTAAATTATTATTTAAAACAAATGTTCTTTTAAAAATATGTGACATTTCTTTTATTTATTTATATTTTTTAATTTCTCTTTTAATATATTGTGAACATACTGCAGACTCCATAGGGGCTTTGACTAAGTGTTGGGAATTGTCTTTATTAACTTCATGCCCAGAAGAATAAACATATTGGTGTTTTCTCAGTCAGTACCCTTGAAAATTAGCACTTTAAGCAGTGGCCATTTATTAGTTGCATCTTAAAAATCTTTCCTGACGGATGTGAAGTTTGAGGACATTTTAAAAAACAACTAGTTTTTCTAAATTTTTTAGTATGTATATTTGGATCGTCTGAAACTAAGGAGAAAACTGCACTGAATTGCCTTTCTGTATAGATTGTTTAACATTTTACCTTCAGCCTTTATCGAATGTCAATACAAAAGAGAAATAACCCATAGAATGATGTTGGAAAACTACTCTGACTAACATCTATAAAATTTGTCATTATCTCTTGTATATTCTTGAATGTATCCATGTGAAAACATTCATAGATGTTTCAAAGTTAAGGAATAGGCTATCTCTTGATTAGGTCATATTCCACCATCCATTATATGAGAACTGTTAACTCAATGTGGTCCTCTTTATGGCTTGGCTGCTTAGAAATTCAGGGAAAAAGTGTTCTATTTGATATTGCAGTTTTATTATTTAACCTGTATTCTCTACATTACAGATTCTCCACATTTTACTTACAGGTCCCTGTTCTCACTTTCTGCCTTCCATTCAACTTACAATTATTTTAATGTCTTTTTGTATTGCCTTTTTAAAAACTATATACCAGTTTGAATCCATTTTGGAAGTCAAGAAATACATAATTTATATACAATTTTAAATAATTTTTAAAATGCGATCCATTTATACCACAGATCCAACCATAAGAACATGTTTTGTCTCTATTGTCAATTTTTTATTACCTCGTTCAAATCGTTTTCATACAGAATACAAAGTATATACATAATTTTGTTAACACTTTTGTTAGCTCTTTGGCCATAAAATAATGAGAATAAGCTGTTATATGTATAATTGTTTAACTATAAAATTTATGTATTTCATTATCAAGTATTTTCAAAAATCATTGTTTTTTTGTTGATTATAAATATAAGACATGCTCATTGTAAAAAATGTACACAAATGAGAAGGAAGTAAAATCCCCACAGTTCAGAGATAACTATTAATATTTTTTAAAATTTGAATATCCTTTCATATCTTTTTACTTATGTATACACACTCAGTTTTACAAAAACATGCTTTATGTACTGTTCTGTATTCCTTAAATTTTAAACTGAACCATAATCATCTTTTCATGCCAATAAATAACATCTATATCATCATTGTAGTGGCTGAATATAGTATTCCATTGTGTGAATATACTAAACTTATCTAAGTGCTGTGTTACTAAATAAGATTTATTTGTTTTCAATACTTTTTGCATTTGTAAACAAGAGTGTGATGAACATCCCTTGTTTAATAACATTATGAGTCATAGGTTGAGAAAAATATCTGCAGTGTGTAAAAGCTTAAATTTGCTAGGATAATTAAAATGCACATCATATGGCTATATGTATCAAAACTTTGGAAAACCTTCAAGATATATTCTACATTTAAACGGACAAATAGTAAACTAAAGCAAAAGAAGATACTTTTTCATATTTTATGAACCTACTTGCTTTACATTATTGTGATCATTAAAATACATGAAAACTATGAAATTCCAAATAAAATTTAAAGTAGTTATAGTAATAGTTATTTGTTATATATACTCTCCATTTCTTTATACCCATGACCAGTTTTCATTTAAATATATAAACCTGAAGTATTAGGGTTAGCCTACTTGCTTTATAAACACTTTCATTCCATATAAATGTAGAATGATTTCTAGAAATTAAAAAAGTCATCAGGGCTAAGCATTTTAATACATTTCTGAAACTATGTAAATTTTTAAATTATTACTGTTTTTGAAAGGTCAGCTAGTGTAAAGAAAAGGAGAAATTAAAATGCCTATGTACAGAAAAAAATATGTATGTTTAGAACCATGCTCAAGATTTTAAAAAAAGCAAAAAACAAAATCTCTGTAAATTCAGTTGGTGAAAATCAGGGGGAAAATACAAAGGAAAGATAGTTTCTCCATTTGAACACAAGCACAAGTGCAGTTTTTCAAATCTTGTACTTCTAATTATCAGCTACATTTAATAGACTCCTAATAAGCCTTCCAAGGAGCAGCAACACAACTGAAAAGTTTAAATTAATGACAAAGGATTTAAAGAAAGTTTATTGCTTATCATTTCTTAGGACAAGATAATTAGTAAAAATATAATGTTAATGGTCAGGTTAACAATGGACCATTTTGGACCAGCAGTTAGCATAATAGCTATGTCACTGAACTTCCATGTAGTCGACCGCAGTTCAAGTCCCAGACCCAGTGGCTTAAACTCATGCCGGGCACATGTGCGTGTGTGCCCAAGATCCCGAGAGGAGAATGGAGGAGAAGGGATTGCAGTGTGGCCATCTCCCCAGGGGGTAATTGGTGATTTCTAGCTTTCTGTCTCTCTGTCTCTCTTTCTGGCGAGTGCACACGCCCTATAGCAAACAAAGAAACAAAAAAACCTCTCCAACAGCAACAAGAATGGATCATTTGATAGAAGTGTTTTATTTGTTTTGTTTTGTTTAGCTCTTCAAAATAGTTTCTTGGGCAAGCTTTAAATTTTCCCAGGGATAAAAAACAAACAACAACAATAAGAAAAACACCAGGAAATTTTCTTTGCAATTCCAAGTCATCGCAGGCAAAATTACTGAAGGGATGAACTCTTCTGGACTGGAAGTTTCACACATACTGAAGTCTGTCTAGCTTAAGAAATGTCAATGGGTAAAGGGAAAAGTAAAAATGTCACATCTGTGAGTGATATTTTTATCCCAGTGGAAAAAAGTAACAATACTCATTTCATTAACTGAAGACTTAGAAATGGAGTATCCTCTTTCTTACAAATAAATGACATTCTTTTGGAGAATAAAAAGTGTATCAATAAATGACTGAAGACAAATAATACAAATTATTTCCAACACCTCTGACAATACCTGGAATATAGTAGGAATTCCACAAATACTTGTTGGGTGAATGAAATTGTAATCTGTGCTTTCCAATTCTCCTCTCAATATTTGACAAGAGAAATGTTTATTACAGAATAAGCCATTTCTATTAATTCCATCCTCTAAAGAAAAAAGTTGAGAACTGATTGATTTTTTTGTAGACCAGTGCAAATAGTGTTGAGGTCTTTATTAATTATTTCATTTCTCTCATGCTCTTTTTTTATTATTATTGTTCAGTACTTGATTGAAAAGCCTGTCTTAGACAAAGCTTCTAATAATAGATACAACTTAAACAAAACAGTCTATTTGTACAGTAATACTTTTTTTATAATTTAATGTGATGCTGCTTTAATGCTATTCCACAAAGTCTTGCTCTTCTCTTGAACCATGTGATCACATTAATCCCTGAGATACTAGTGATTTCTATCTGAAATGAATTAATCTCAAAGTGTTACTTACTTCCCATGAGGTATAACCTCACAAATGGTTCCTTGGGGCTTCAAGAAAGCCAACGTATCCCACTTTGCTCCTGGAGATCATGGCCTATATTTTGAAATAACCTAACTACCTTTGGAAATCTGAGAAGACAAAGGTCTAACTAATCCAAAGTACTAATAAGGAGAAAATAATTCCCAGAAGACTTTAAAAAACTAATTCTAAGTATCATCACCCACGAAAGTCCCTGTCAATTTTAAAGTATCTCCCATATGGCACAAAAACAAGATCAGTCTTATCACTAAATTTCTTATCAAAAGTTTGGTGCCTTCACAGTTTAGTTTAGGCTATTTAATTAAAAAAAAAAAAAAGACTTAGTGCTTTAGGGAGACTAGGAAAAGGGATGAGTGCTGATACTGTATGGCAGGACTATCTGGGTCATCAGAGTAGATTTGTTTCCTTGTTATAGAACTAATCATAAGTGAAATACCAGATTTTGGCGTCTTTGGTATGAAAAAATAAGCCTTCTATAATGAAGAGTAAGTCTACATCATTTTCGGATTGATTTGAAACTTCTGAAAGGAAAAATTATGTTTCCTTTAAAAAAATCACAAACTTTATAAATCAATATTTGAGGCCCTTTAAAAGGTAATTTTAAACTAATTACACAGAATAGCAAATGACTTTCCTTTTGGGTCACCTGTCTTTGAGGATTTTGAGCAGACTAAATTCCTGAATAGAACGAGTACAGAAAGGAACTTGCAAGCTTTTGTTTTTTTAGCACTTCAGGAAAACCAAAATATATCAGTAAATGTTTTCATTGCACAAAAATCTATTATATGTTAATATTATATGTTAATGTTACTAAATAAAGGAAAAATACCTTTTTGTAGTCTTTTCATGTAAAAGGGCAGCTTTATTACATTATAATAAGGATAGTAACAAAGCAATGCAAGTTAAGGTGAAGAATTTGTTTCCTTCATTACTGAATTCAGAAAATTTAAGATTTGTAAATTAACTCAAGATGAAAAGAAGGGGTATTGAGAAATAAATGGGAATTTGAATGTTAGAAATACAAATTAATTATGTAAAAACATTAAAATCCTCATAATTTGGTATCTAATTTAAGGTGAGTCATCATTCAATTTGTATGGTTATTCTTAACATTAGACTGCTGCAGTGATATTAAACCTCAGGAGTATTTTATTTGTCGGTTAATTTTTAAAATAACTTTTGGTGCTAATCTTCTTCTCTAGTGTTTTACCTTCATTACCTAATCTCAGTCCTACCCTTGTTGAACACTCAAGATTATAAAAGTATTTGTAGTTTATGTTGTTTGTCCAAACATCATCTCATTTATCTGTAGCTATTACATGTGCATGTATGTGGTACTATACCATTCTGTTGAGATGAAAGTTTCAGGACTTGCATGTTAAGCCACGGTAGATGTTGAGAAACTTATCTACTGTTCATATGTGAATG